CAGCCAGCCAACCAACCAACCAATCAACCAACCAACCAAACAATCAACCAACCAGCCAGCCAGCCAACCAGCCAGCCAGCCAGCCAGCCAGCCAGCCAGCCAGCCAGCCAGCCAACCCAGGATTGCCTTTGTTGGAGATTCCAAATTTTTGGGACTTTCCAAATTAAAGGTAACCACCGCTATTAGCTACTAGTAAGATACTAGAACATAGTCGTCTCTATGGCATCACATACCCTTCTCCTGTGAATGTTGGAAGCTGTGGAAATGTTTGGCCTGGCTGACGTTGACCAGGTCAGACAGCTCCTTGGCCAACTTGATTTTTTTCTTCTGCAAACAGTTACACATAAAAGAAAATTACAGGAGGTCTTTGATGGTATTATAAGGTCAGGTTTCTTTAAGACCTGTGTGTTATTTCCTATTCTGTAATACAATATTACATGTACTACTAACAGTACAATTTCTTAGTGGAAACAGGTAACACCATGACACTTGTGCCAATATATATCAGTGTTGATCATTGTCAAGAGCAGCTGAAACCATTTGTCAATGAATATCACTGTGACTATGTCAGGACATAAAGGCTATATTAAGTGGATAACACACACAAACAACTACAGAGTTATTCTCAAAGAGATGTCATAGACACCACAAACCATTCACAGTACAGATTGAATGTACTGGTAAGAATAGCTGAAAGCATTAATATTTTAAATATCACTGTCAGTGACTACACGTATGTTCTTGGTGGAAAACACACACACACAAACAACAATGAATGGCTCTGAAAGAAATGTTGAGATCTAAAAATGGAAAGAAGAGGAGCTCAGGCTTGGTACACACTAAAGCTTACAGGTAACACCACTAGAATAATGGCAAGGAGACAACCAGAAGGCATGATCCCATTAAAGTTACCTTTTTCTCCAGCTCTTTTCTCCTTTTCTCCTGTGTGCGTAACATAAGGTAGAGCATGTTCCATCACCATAGCACAGTGAAAACCAAACACCAGCAAAAAGAGTGTAGGAACATAATCATAGTTACACCACACCAATCTAATTTGTAGGTTCTCATTTTTTACATATGCTTATTGGAAGAACATAATGAAGGAAAACAGGTAGGTTTATGTCTGAGTTCACCCAGTTTTAATTTATGGAGTGAATAACAGTGACTGTCATACATGTATGCAAAACTGTGGATCATATAATAAAATCAAAATCAAAGTTTCCTCCCTGCCCTCTACTTTTATGATGTTTTCTTGCTAGATTTTCACCTTAATTGTCTGAGAACCATGGAAACGAATTGGTGTGGATTTAACATCATGGCAAGTAGCAACTACAGCTATATCATGAAGTAACATCTTAGCTGTGCATTCACCATAAAAAAAGCATTTAGTCATGCATTTAACTACAGAGTGCAGCACCCTATGGATCCTATTTCACCATGAGCCACTGAACATCAGAGTGTGCCACTGACGAATACGATTCATGAGAATAATGGAAAAATACAGTGAACTGTTTAGATTTTTGTATGGACCTAAAGTAGATGGAGACTTGAAGAAAATGGAAAGTACAACCATATCATTATGAGAAGGATAAGGAATATTGTCAAGCATCATGCCAAAACAAGAGATAACTCACATTGGCTTTTTTTGCTTTTTTCTGCTCATAGTCATACCATAGGACAGTTTGCAGAAAATATTGTAAACTAATGTTAAAATTTCAGTCATACAATACAACTTAAGATTTTATTGTCACAGTGATGATATACAAAAATGTATGAAAAAGAAGATAAAAACTAAATAATCAATGTATGGATATAAATTTTAAGTAACAAAATGACCAAAAAATACAATTATATGGATCCGATATATTTGTGACTTGTGACAGATTTTTCGGGCACCTTTTCAGCCTGCATGCGAGCCTGCACCTCGGGGTCCTCGATCTCAGCAGCCTCGTCCTCGTCGCTGACCTCATCCTCCAGAACATCAGGTGGCAGCTTCTTGTTCTGGGGGTCACAGGTGCCAGGGAGTTAGCAACATTAGGAACAACACTCAGAGCTCGAAATACATTTTTCAGCATACCTGGGCTGGTGCAAGTAACATAGAAAATTGCCTGCACCTGACAATACTATAAGTTTTGAGTGTGAGAAACTGGATGTACATGTAATGTGAACCATTCAGTGTCTGAGCTTCCTCCAATATTGTGGTATTGTTATTTCTTTAAACAAATCCCCAATATCTGATGAATTCATTAATCAAACAATTATATTTGAATGTAATGTTTAGTGGGGTTACGATTGCCTTTTTCCTTTTCACCTAAAACAACAAATTTCTCTGAATGTGCAACAATGAAAACTTACAGCTTTCTTGTATTCTTTGCCATCATCATATTCTTTAAGTCAGTAACTAAATATGTTTATTTCAAGTACATTGATCTACATGTATAATAACATAATACAAATGTTAACATAATATGAAGACATCAATTTAGATACATTTCTGAATACATGTAACGTTATATCTATTCCCAACCTTGATGATGATTTTGCCCCTGAGACTGTTGGGTGAAGGCAGCAGGTTGGGGTCGGGTGTGTTGGAGTCGGTGCAGAGCTGGGAGCCGAGGATGCGCCGCATGTGTGCCGACATTGTGCGCTGCTGCTCCACACTGCAGTGGTTCTCCAGAGACAGGAACACCGGGTAGCTGGGACAACACAGAAATGCACGATTTTGTTTGATCACAGATATGGTCTAATGGCTCACAAGGAGTTTAGCACTTTAAGTTACACAAAGAGTTACCAATGGCCTAGGATTATACAGATGAGGTATTAACAGTTTAATATACAATCTACTTATTTACAGAGAGCTACTACTAAATATGTACACGTGTCCTGGGTCTTGACTGCAAGCTCAACTAAACCACATGACCATCCTTTGCCACTTATAATGTTCAAAACTGGTGTGTCACACCTAAAGTAAGTCTACATTGTATGAATAAACTGAAACAGCTGCATTTAGAGTTCATTCATAGGAACTTTGCATCTATCAACTGCTTTGTCAAAGTCAAATTGTCCCTACAAACTTGCAGTCTCCCTTAAGAAGTAACTTAAAGACAGTACATGATCATGAGCTGTACTCACGGTGAGGCCTTGAAGGCGTAGTCGTTAATGGCCTCGATGACCTCCCTAAACAGCACCTTGGAGGTGAGGGTGTGACCGTGGTAGATAACAGGCTCCCCTCCCTCCCCATCCCAACAGTCCAACTCCAGAAAACGCGATCCCTGTAGGCAACCAGGAGGTAAAACACAGACATGAAGTGACTACATTGATTATCCAACAAGGAATGTAGGACTAAGATCATAGTAAATCTGATGTATTACACCACTGCCTGAATATGAAAACACAAGTAGAGCATATCTTTCGATACTCAAGAGCAAACTCTAGAAAAAAATATGTGTGATGCTGCTGTAGTCTGGGAATCAGAATCAAAAGGTCAGTTCATTGAAGTTGTGCATTTTCTGTCTCATCTCTGGTTAAAAACTGCATGCATCAAGCCATTTATGCCAAGTATTTGCTATGGAATTGGGCTTGTCTTGAGCATTGAAGATTCTGACTCTGGGAGATGAGATGCTGTTCAAGTAAGCTGAAAATTTGTTGAAAAAACTCACAAAAATACCAAACAAGCTACAGGTCTGTTTGGAGCTATACCAGTGATCCCATACCTTCTGCAGGGCCCTGATGTAGCCCTAAGATTAGGCTACGATGTTGTACTTTATGTGTGTGATCACATATTAAATAGGTTGGTTCTTTTTTCAGTACCTTCTGCAGGGCCCTGATGTAGCCCTCCTTGCTGCTGGGATGTTGTAGATTAAGAGTGTGATATATATTTTTCAGTACCTTCTGCAGGGCCCTGATGTAGCCCTCCTTGCTGCTGGGATGTATGTACATTAAGAGTGTGATATATATTTTTCAGTACCTTCTGCAGGGCCCTGATGTAGCCCTCCTTGCTGCTGGGATATTGTAGATTAAGAGTGTGAATAGACCCACCTTCTGCAGGGCCCTGATGTAGCCTTGCTGCTGGGATGTTGTACATTAAGAGTGTGAATAGACCTACCTTCTGCAGGGCCCTGATGTAGCCCTCCTTGCTGCTGGGGCCTCTCAGCTGGTCCTCCAGAAGGTAAGTGTTGTGAGAAGACGCGATGAAGTAGTGACTGAGGGGCTGGGACATGTCCTGGTACTCCTGGTCGTGAGCATGGTTATAGATGTCCCCGTCCTTAGACTCTAGGTACAGGGTGAAACCTGGGGAAAAAAAGGCGATCTTGATCCAGTCTTAGCTCACTGAAGAGCTACACTTACGCTCATGTCATGTACAGTACCAGGGAAATTCCCCTGCTGTTTTTTTACAACAGTGTACCATAGTTTAACATCTGGTCCTAATGACTTATAGTGTGTTTATTACAATTGGATGAGTAACAAAAGACAGGATTCAAACTCTCAACCTATTGGTCTAGAGGCACTGGGTCAGTAACCACTAGACTACACATGCTACCTTATTCTAGAAAGGGTGACAGGCCCACAATATTCAACAGTATTTGTATTATATGGTACAGAAATTCCATGCAGTTGCAGACCTCAGAACAGGTATAAGAAAAAGACAACATAAGCCATACCTTGCAAACTTAGAGAATCACTAGCCTTCACATCACTGATCTGTTCATACGTGTTGATGATCCTCCTGCAAGTTTCTGCATCTGCCTGGACCTGAACAAGAGAAAATGTCCATTCATTCATGTTAGGATATTCTGAACTATCACCTCTTGTTCCAAATACAACCCTCTACAATTCTAACTCTCATGGAAGGACTCAGGTCTGATGTTTTGAGTTACCTTTTGTTCCTGAGTGAGGAACTTGTGCAAGTCTTGCATCGTCATGGTTCCTTGAGCTGAGGCAACCCTGAAAGTGAAGAAATACTTCTTAAGTCAGGTCTGCATCACATTGACAGTGTGTGATGTGTACAGTAAAATATGTGGGAGTGTATCATACTCTGAGAGGTTGCATTGTACTTTTTCAGGGTGACAATATATGTGACCTGGCAGAATTATGTTAGTAGACCTCACCTGTTGAATAGATCCTGGACCTCCTGTCTGAAGGTCAGCTGTCTGTAGAGCTGTCCAAACTCCTCCAGGTCAAGGTCACCATTGCTGTTCCGATCAACTTCCTGAAGGTCAGAAACAAATAGGAGAATGATGAGTAATGGGAACAAGAACAGTACATTTCAATGGAAACAAAAGTTTGATGTTACTACAATTTATCAAAACAAAATTAAAGCTGTACAAATGTTGAGTTTGTGATGTATACATTCCCAGGTTCACCCTTACCAAAGGTTCAGGTGCAGAAGAGGGTGCAGCACCAGTTTCATGTGTTCTGTATGGCTTTACTGCCATACTACCACCCTGTACCAACTTGGAGAGTAGAAGTGTACACAGTAACCAGGTTTCAAAGAAGACTGGTTGCTGAGCACAAAGGAAGAAAGAGAAGACTACACTACTCATACTGTACTGTACTATAGTGTGTGTCAGCAGCAACAATTACATCAGTGAACAAGCCCAAACATCTTTCTTAAAAAATACAAACCTTGTTTTTAGCTAGTAACAGAAAGAAGACAGACAACAAGAAAATGTTGTTTTCCACAGTATTTTTACAGTGATTAGAACTGACATTGTAACATACAATCAAACAGGAGAGTCAAGAAGACAACAAAAACAGTAAATTTTCCTTTGAATTTCCAAAATATGAAAGGGATATGTACGGGAACATAAGGGATCCCTTACATGTTTGACTCTATGGTAGAATTACTAGCTAAACTTTCCTGTTCCCCGGAGACTGGAAAAGAGAAATGAAAGTGGTGACCCCACCTGGAACCTCTCCTTGATGTGCGAGCTGCTGATCGGGACGTTCATCCTCTTCAGCAGACCGGTCGCCTCCTTCAGGTCCAGACGCTCGTTCTGGTTCTTGTCTGCAGAGTGGAAGAACTCTGCAATCCACCTGAAGAAAAATAAAACATTATGGATCAACTAAGTCCAACAAGGACATTATGTAGAATGTCCTTAAGTCCAATGATGTTTTGAGTGTCAAGAGAGGACCTATTCCTGGAAAAGTAAGTTGAGGATTTGACAGTGAAAGAGACCTAGACAAAGTAAGAATCTTGGATGTGGTACCAGACTTTTTTGCAGGCCATCTACATTAATATTGGGGCATTACAACCATCCCTCAACAAAGACAGGGGTGCCATAGATCTAGACTTCATCTAAAGTTGTATATTTCATTTCATTTCAGTTATTTATATTTTGTTATGTATGGACTACTTCATCTAAAGTTGTATATAATTTGTCATTACTCTCTGAGTCCACATTTTGTTTACTTCATTGTTAATTTGATTTTCAAAGTGTTTGGATGCATGTTATGTTTTCCAATCACTTTCAGTTATATCATTTTCTATTATTTTGACCTCTGACCTCCCATTCAGTTCATTTTAAGTTCTATATGCTGAGTTTGGTTAATTATCCTTTGTTATCTCAGGATAAATCTTTGTTATGAATTTATTATTATTATTATTCCGTTATTTATTGTTTATCTTAATTTATGTTTGATTGATTTATTATTGTTTTTACTATTTTTGTTTAGTTAGTTGGACTCCAGGAAGAGTAGTGTAAACTTTATGTATTAAAAGTTTGTATTTATGTTTATGTATTAAGATCGAAATAAAACAAACAAACAAACAAACTGCTTACCGAGTCATGTGTTACCTGCATAATGTGACATCACAGAAGCAGTGGATTGCTCATTACTTGACAAAGACTGGAGTTGTACGTCAGTCAAATAAAGTCTGTTGGCAAACAACAGTACAAACTTGGTGTATAAAATTTTGAAGTCAGCTGACCTCTCCTTCTTGTTGACGATGGTCTCGCCCGTGCGTGACAGGATGAGGTGTTGGATGCCGCGGACCCAGGTCTGAGCTGTCTCTGGGCTGTCACAGATCAGGTCAAGGGTTGGCTGGGGAAACAAACAAAGGTATCAACAGAAGCCAAGTCAGCAGAAGGGTTTTCATCTGATGTCTCTTGTGATTACCAATTTGAAAATAAGAAGCAGATTGTTTTCATATGTCTGCTTGTGTTTGAGGAGAGCCATACCTAAATTAGCATATTAAAGACCCCATCATACTCACACTACAGTCAGCTTATGCAGATTATGTACAAAACAGTAAAACTGGTGTGTAAGGCCTTAAAGTGGTTTACTGGATGCGAAACAAACAATTGAAACGTTTGGTTTGATGGTGTTGAACCCATAACTTACTTCACAAATAATGAATCCTACCCCTGGTAATAAAATTTGGATCTGAACTCCATTGAATTCAAGAAATGAAACATTAAAAGTGGAAGGAAAGAATGCCTTTTGCAAATAACAAACCACAGAACTCACAGTCTGATCTTTGTAGGAGATACTGAAACAGTTGGACAGTCCGACAGCCTTCTCCCTGTCCACACGAGAGCTGCGGGAGGTCAGCGTGCTGAGAAACACCTCCAGGATGTTGGACACGTCATCTGCAAGTCACAAACAATTCAATAAACAACTCTGCTTCTCTGAATCACTCAAGGGGTTCAGAAACATGTTGTTAAGGTTTCACCAATGTTGTTGGATGTAACATGTGTGAAGGTCTTACTTGTTTGTACATGTAAATGTGTGGTTAAAAAAATTTACAGTCAAAACTGCCCAAGAGGACCACTCAAGGGACCACTAAAATCTAGTCTATGTGGACAGGTGGTCCCTATAGACTAGATTTTGACACCTCTGTCATTGGGAAAAGTATCCAAAGGACCAACAAAAAGTGGTCACATTGGCCAGATGGTCCTACTGTAGAGGTGGTCACTTGGACAGGTTTGACCGTATATAACTTTGTCACATAAACATTGAGTGTGGGCTAACAGCACACAAAATACATGTATGTGTAGAGTATTACATTTATACAAACATTTAGAACAGAAAAATCAAAGGACACTTCATAAGATGGTGGCTGGTGTTTCTTCCAAAGGCTTAGTAAAAAAAAGTGATGGTCTTCTCAACTCATTCCTGATCATTGTGCCTTATCCTACACAAAAGAAAATTGAAAAAAATGTTAATATTGTATTTGTTGTAATACAATGTATACTATTGCGAATCAAACAATTTCATGAAGTCCTTGTTACAGGTGAGATTAATTCTTCTGATTGGAAATCGGATTGTAGTTTCCAGTTTCTTGAAGAGCCAGCATCTGATTGGCTATTGGTTGACCAATCATCATTGTTGTTGCATCAGCTGCAGGTACAATAATTCTAGTAGCTGGATACATCAGCTGCAAGCAACCAGATTTTGTGAAGACTTGTGAAGATGGGCACCAATGTGTCAAAGCAGCGATGCAAAATGTTGTTTTGCAGCATGCAGAGATGATACTATGAGTGCATTGCTGGTAAGTTAGCTGAGGGCATATTGTCAGCAAAAGCTGTATGGTAAGCAAATGGGATTTTGATAGGAAATAACTCCTTTAAGTTGAATCCTTTCTTTCCTTGCCCTCTTTTCGGATGATTATAGTGATAGACCAATGACCACCGAAACACCAGGAATGATTTTACCAGAAATAAAAGACAATGACAACAACAGGCAACAGAAAGACACACAGTTAATAATGGGCACACTCATGGTTAGATGAACAGACAGATGAGTGTTAGTGTTAGTACACAGCACAGCTTACATGTATCTAAAGCACACCTCAACCCAGTTATCTTAGTAGCATCACAGGAAAATTAGGACAGGGAGGTGTCAATCTTTACATTTTCCGTAAAGAGTGGGTCTGAATTGTAGCATTTCATACCAAAAGCCGAGGATGAAAAAATGTACAAAATATGTGTGAAAGGCAGTGGATGGAGAGAGATGGGCTCCACAATCCGATCAACAACCCACTGCACCTATGGCCTCAAAGGCCATGGGACCTACATGTATACCTTTAAATTTTTTTTACAAAGTTTTTGAGATTTTGATTCTCCCTCAATTCAGTATCCCCTGAGGCCAATTTTCCTGTTACAGCTTTAAGACACAGAAGAACCCAAAGAGCACAGGTGGCAGTTAGTATTTTACTCAGAACAAAACGATTTGACAAACACTCACTGCACAACATTCATGCTTTTTTCCCACCAGCATTCTTAGAGACACGGAAAAGTCTCTCAGTTAGATTCAACAATGGCAGCAAAGTTGTTTTAGACTTTTTGTAGAATGCTGCAAAATCACAAATCTGGTACTAGTACACACAAACTTAATTCTATGGATGACATCTGGACTCCTCAAAAAATAAAGTTTCGTGATAAAGCAATAATTGGCCAAAAAGGTTTATCATTTAAGCAGCAATGTTGTTAACAGTTGAGCATACGGGTTCTAACTTCTAAGAATCAAGTTGAGCATACGGTTTTTTTTTGCACTTTTTTGCAAATGATTTGACGTTTCTTGGCAATGTAATCCATAAAATCAACTTTATGCGAGCTGAATGATTTGCCACACTGTTATCACATGATTGGAAGGATTTCCGTTATTGGTTGAGGCGGTGCACATGTCCTAGCAGACGTCAGTGAAACCTCTACTTACATGCCTGTTCGGCTGGTAGGCGTTTGGTACCTTCAAAAACAAAGTCGACACATGTCACAACTCTACACAGTCTACGTGTGTGATAGCCTGGCTACATCAAGCTTCTAGCAGCCCTTCCACTGGTCAGGCTTCTAGAAGCTTGATGTTCAACACCTCTAACAGTCAAGAGAAGTCAAGGAGAATTGGCAATATCAAAATCCTGTTGATTTAGGCCTACGTGTGAACATGGAACAACCGTAGTAAGACAGAACTGTCTAGATGTTACCATAGTGTTGAGGCCATGTTGACTGGTTTTCATAGTAACAGAGAATCCTGTGCTACAATATTGGACTGATTTTTATAGTGATAAAGAATCCTGAATTTCTATAGGTAGTTTTGGAAATAGGAATGTCTCGAGTTAGAGGTGTATGGCCACAATCTCTTGCATGTGAAAGAGGCCCTATCAGCCTCTAATAGCAAGAGATTGTGTAACACAGGCTATCCCAGATGACAGTTCACACATTGTCAGATTTTGTAATATTTCACAATTCGTTGTTTTTTCATCACCATGCCTATATCACAACACGGACACTCATATGCATGTGTTATCCATGCTGATGAAACGTCACGCTTGCCATATTGATGACATAATTTGTCAACACGTCACCTTTAACACGTCACACGTCATGCAAATGATATGATGTATCATGTTACATCATACATGCTAATGATTATGCAACTTTGTTGTAGTGTAGCAATTACAAGAATGTCACAACAGTCATTCTGATGAAACAATGCTGATCCCAATGTGTCAATCATGATGTTGTAGCACATGTGCAGGGCTGAAATGTATCCTTTTGTAGTCGCTACTCTTTCGTGTGTCCCTGAAACGTAGCTCAGGTTTCATCAGTTATGGCACAAGACTAGATTTGTTGTGTACACTAATTTCAGAGAAATAGTCATGCTCTGAGATTAAGTACAATCATTGAAAAAAAAATTAAGAAAGAGAGGTATTTCATGTCAGTATATTTCTAATTTTATCCAAAAAAGGTTAGATTGGCCACCAATGGATATAAAAAAAGTTAGTGAAAAAGTTTGCTCCAATGTTCAAGCCCTCTGGTTCTCATCATATACATAATACAAAATAAACCAAACACTTTATAAATTCTCTGAAGAGTCAGATGTTTCACAAAGCATCTACTGTATAATCAGAAACTGAATTCTAAGTCTTAACTTTTCATCAGTAAATGGGCTAAAAAAACAGTATCTCAATAAAAGTATCTAAACTGCAAAATCTCTGTGACTCAAACGAAAGATAGTGGATACTAGCTGAAACGTCTGACTCTACATAGAATTCATCCAGTTGCTTGATTCATTATGTACTAGCGTTACGTACATTTTACCTAGATGCCTAACCTTATTTTCATGGATGCAGTGTTCATATATATATAATTCTAGCCTAAGACAGACACTACTTACACTCGGGCACGGCGCTGTGGCGTGTGGGGCTGTACACGATGGTTTCCCGGTCCTTCTGCAGACGATAGTAACGTTTGAACTTCTTCTTCCCAGCCCGGAGTTTGGTCATGACCGTCTCGTTCATCATGGCCTGCACGCAGGCTTCGCCGTCCATCGCGACTGGGGAGGGAAACATTATATTAACCGTGGAACTCACCGTGGATTTTATAGTTACTTTTGTCCACGGATACATACTCAAATATTCTAACAATCCAACCATAACCGTGAGCGATAGGCCACCGAGTTTTTGTTGGAATCGGTGCTGCTTTAAATGCGTTTTCGAGAGTGAACGGAAAGGCTATCGCGTATATCGCCGTGGCCACAACAACACAGAAGTTACTACGATGCACGTTGTGCAAAATACGTGCCTTTCCGACAAAAATAAGACAGCAGTGTGCCTAGTATATCATTATTGGGAATCCCCATTCAGTAAAACGGGTACAGAATATGTCTACCGTAGAAACAAAGCAACAGCCTACCGCCCGTGGTTGTTCTGCGCTCCCAAACACATGCACTAACCATGCCGCACGGTGCCTGTCCTTGGTGCTGAACGCCATCCACCCCCCTCCCCACACGTGTGAATGGGAATTTCTTTTGACCGCAAAAGAATACTTTGGCGATACAACACTTGCGACATCTAAGCACTTACTTTTCGGCAATTTTATATCAACTACGACACATATCAGTTAATTTTGTGGTAGTTTACCGGGGTTTGAAGACGGAGTGCGTGCGTGACTTTTCCTTTCCTCGGGTTTTAGAACTTCGGAAACAAGTTCGATCTTGCGTCACTCGAACCGAACGCGCGTTCCATTTCAGGCCAATCAGGCAGAAAGATTCAGCGCACGTCCGATAATGTATTCCGGAACACCCCATTTATAGTGATTCGCAGACAAGGAGGTGACTCAGAGTTCACCCAGCTCCACATATTAACGTTAAATTGAGTTATCCTCACTACGTAGTGGCCGGCTGATTGCAGTGTGGCGCCGCTGTGTTGGCTTTTAATGGGGTAAAATCACCGGAATTTCATTTTACTCGGTTACGAGGTAGACCGGGGATCGTAAAATAGAAATACGGAAACCAAATTTTCTTCTCAAATCTACAGCGTACAGAAAATTCTAGATACATCGTGCAATGTACGTGACTGAGATTAATAGCGTTGTAGCCTCTAACATTCAGAAGCGGCTAAAAGACTACAAAATTGGCCTAATAGACAGATAACATGCCAGGGGTGTTGGTCCGCTACATGAGTACATTTGCCGCTTCTTTCCAGCCGCTTTCGAAGCCTGGCAGAGGCTAACATAACATCGCCGTGCCAAGCCCACTGTCTGGTCCCGGGACAATGCCGTGCCGCAGGAGCGGCCGGAATGCTGACAGGAAACTGTCATACAGTGTGGGGGAGATGATATGGCAGAACGCCATACTTATCTCTGTAGATCTTTAGTTAGATTGGGGCAGGAAGATCGTAAAATGTATCCTCTGTTGAATCCTGTTCCGTTCTGCAAGTGTGTGGAGTAAACGGTGAACCTAGGAAACTTTAGGATTCCACATCTTCTTTATAAAATAATAGTTAAACATTCAAAATCTGCTGAGAGATTCTGTAAACCATGATCTGTTTCTGGGCGAGCCCACGGCGTTCATTATTCATTAATGGTGGTTCGTGGAAGGCCCGTTCACTAAAGATAAAGATTACTCAGAAGGCCACGCAAGGTCAACAATGACGCAAAACGTTCCACCTCATCGATTTTTATTGTCCCATGATTGATCAAATAGACCTTTTAACAACCCTGTTTTAAGGACCAAAATTGCAACGGAATCGTCTTTTACAAGTCAAGCAAATATAAGCTATTCACGACAAAATGAAATTCTGGCAATAGCCAGCTAAACGAAAAAGGGATACGACAATTGTTCGACACTGAAAGCAATGGTGGTGTTCCTTCTTTCTGTATTAATACCTTTGTTCCCGAAAATAGCAAAATTATCCTTCAACCATATTACCATTTTTCTGGCAGTATCGTGAGATACTGAATTATCTCAGCATTTTGCGAAACATCCACACAAAGAAAAGAAACCATAATCCGTTTTATTTCACCAGCTGTTTTGCAGGCTCACGATCCACCGCAATAGAACACCGTGTTTGGTTACATAACGGTGACCCTGAATAAATAACGGCACCTTAAACATTGCTCTCGTGTTAATGTAAGCACTGGATAACTGTTTGCAAGCTTTGCACACCTGTATTAATCAATACGTGTTTTAAAAATGTGCGAACGACGTTGTTTTTCCGAGTCCAGCGGAGCATGTGGACAGATATTAAAAATCTTCTACTTGTCATGTTCTGGCCCGGTGCCCTTGGCATAAAAAAACATGACTGTTCCATTTAAAAACTCAGGAAAGGATAGCTGAAAGAGATATTTATTCTTCATTTTGTTTTCCTTCCCTACATATACAGTGGAAAGATCTGGCGATGAACGTTTCTCACAATTTCTTGAAGACTAAAGGCAGGTGCACAACAGTGGTTGTCTTGTTAACTCCTAACACACCCTCTGTTGTGTTTGCTTGCCTTTGGCGTACCCAGAGCCTTAGATATGCAGTATCAATCGTTGCTAAGTTAATTGCGCACCTTGGACTTCAATGGAATTATTTACTACGCAACAAACACTCAATGGCTGGCGTCACTGACATAACCAACTTCGGGACGAACCAAAAAGAACAGGGGTGGTAAAAATGTAATAGTACAACATGTATATATCTTCCCATACCGATTCATACATACACACATACACACATTAAAATATAGATACGTTTAGATACATTTTATAAGATACATCCTATTGGATAGAAGACAACTAGAAATACATTGGTTGATATGGAATTTAGATAGATAAGTGTATATATATCTTTTGGGAATCATATGTAGAGTAAGAAAAATTATAAAATTTGCCTGACCCTCCCTTTCCCCGAGGTGGTTAGACATATTCACCCCCACCCCACGATCACAAACGGACCGTCCCTAAGGCTAACCTATAAATACGTCCCTTTGAGACGCGGATAAAAGACCTTGAACGCGCTTCGCGTCCCCGGAACCAAATCAACCGTGACCCGTAAAATTAAACAAACATTTTTAGCACATACAGCGTATATATAACATCACACATGCTTCGAGTGCCGGGAATAACACACAGCGTTTAATAATAATACTAGAATTTTAATCCAATCTTTTCTACCAAAGCCGAGAAATTTTTTTAATAAACAAACATACACAGCGTAACACACATATCTGCAAGGCACAGCTATACGCAAACCAAAAACCGGAAAATTACATTCACAATACACCTCATAATTCATGCACGGTGGCGGCATGTGTATCGTAGTTTATGACATCAGGGTCGGTAGAATTTACGACAGGAAATCAGACAACTACAGAACACGCTGGGAATTTCACGTAGCTGTACAGTAGTAGTTCTAGAGTTGGCTGGAAGCCAAGCTTGGCGTGGATGGAAACAGTCAATGTTTCAGTCGCGGGTCTTGCGAGAGATTGCCGTTCTGATAAGAACGTACAACATACTATTACTAGTACGAATATTCCGCCTTGCATGATATTTTAGTTGACGATTGAAACAGACAAAACAGCGTTGGACAAAACCCTACACAGCATAGGTGAGCTGTAGTCTAGAGCGTTAGCTTGACATTTAACATCTGCTTACAAATTAAGCCCTTAAGGGTATAGACAGCTCGCTTACACGGCGTCTGCTTGTTACCCTTAAGTGTTCTGGTTTTAAATTTACGTCGCAAAGAGTGCTACAAAGCTGGCACACCGGTGTACTGCAGGGTGTACTGAGTTTGCAAATTGTAGAGAAAACGGCTCGTAAGACAAGCTATTGGGCTTAATCATTACAATTACCGAACGCGTTCCGAGACACGCCCATGTCAGATCGGGTATCCGGACGGGACAAACAAAACAGCGTGCGACCCTGGGGACTAAGGGGCGTCCTGATCATCATTCATAACACACAGGCAACACGCGTAGCACAGTAAATATCAGACTTACGTTTCTGTCAACCCTCCCACATAACCCCTATACATGAAGGTATGTTAGACCTTCCTCTGTAACGCTAACATACTAGCACATACACACATACACATACCGGCAGTGTGACCGTACGGGGGTCCCGCCAATCTTCAATTATTTTCCGTTCACACCCACACCGCGCGTGCCACCACTTAAAAACCTTGCCTATATTTCTCCACACATGTTATGCTTCCTATTTACTAGGTTCACAGCAATAAGGCTGTCTTATCCCTAACGTCGTCCCGTATCTTACCTCCCTGCTGTCCCACAGCCGCCATCCTGAATGTCCGGTCTGGAAAGTAGGCTAAGATGCGAGGCTCTGTTAGAGGTTTACAGTATACCGGACTGTCGAAACAGATACATGTTGCCAAGGCCGTTGTACGCTGTTTTCTCATCTACACAAGCTTTTTATTTGTCTTTCGCACTGTAAGAGGGTTTGTAGATTATTTATAGGCAATGAGTATTGAGAATTCTGCAATAATTTAAGCAGATTAAGATCAAAGGCACCTAAACAGCCTCTTGCCCGCGGGCCCGTTTTCTGGGCGCGTTGCAAATGACCTTTTACCTCACTCTGGCTTTCATCGCAGTATTCTCTTGGGCGATACCAAAAACGGTGGCGGGTTTGTCCACAGAATTGAAATTTGCCAAAGATAAAAAAACGTTTTGCTTGAGCAAGCACATATTTTTCACACATCGCATCCATACACATTTTATTGACTCCTCGGTCAGAGCCAAACATAAAACTAAACCTATAAATAGAATTTTGAAACCTCCCCCAGTTTGTTTGGGGAATGGTACGTCCCGTTGTTTTCCCTTGGCTATTGACAAAGCCACTCCCGTGACAGCAAATGGCAACAGCGACCCAAGATCAACATATCGATACATGCACGCACTCAAGTTTCTGTCGCCAATATAGAAAACACATCAAAGGTCTTTACAACAGTAACATTGTAATATCAAACAGTTAAAAATCAAAAGGTTGCATATTAATAATGACAATGACAATAATAACATCTCACGAAAGTCACTGTACCCAGTAAGGTTACTTAGTAGGAAGAACATGACCTAAAGCACAAATGACTCAGAGTTTGGTCAAGGGTGACTTCGAATATATGGTGCCTATTGTCTAGTTAAGTAATGGTACAATGAATCAACGAACATTTAGACACCTATTTGACCCGCGTGTCCGAGAGGTTTTGTTTTCGAAAGGTGTGAGTCACTCCTTCTGAGACAATTTGATCGACCGGACAATAAAAGTCAGCAAAGTTTACTTCTTCTACTTTGTGTTATGTCTACTATTGGCCGCATGGCCTGTTAAAAAGAAAGAAAACAACATGTGTTGCTTTGACCCGTCTAAGAAACTAATAATTGACAGTTCAAGACGGTTTTATCTAGCCCCAAGGGTGAAGAGTCCGAGTTGTGGCAACGGCGATCTATATATGAAGTATCAGACATAGTGCAGCGCCCTGTTAGTATCGTATGAGACGGTCCGAGTAGCTTCGAGCAAACATTCATGATTCAGACCAACAGTGTGATTATTAAGACAATATCCTACTGTATATGGTGTGTTGTGTCAGCATGTGTGTGTGTGTGTGTTTGTCTAGGTGTGGGTGGTGGAAGAGTTTTTTTTAATCGAGCCATTGATTGTTCGTATGTCACATAATGCTATGTAGACGTACGGTATTTTGACTTGGACTTGAATAGATAGATACATGTACTTAAGTATAATACATTGTAAAGTTTAAGATTCTTTATCATTTGTGGTTATTGTTTCCAGGTATGTAGGTATGTTTTATTTTCGTTTTCAAGAAACAAGTTAGACGAATCGCGTGCTTGGGCATCATCGATCATGAAAAAACAGCCGTGTGGTCAACACCGCTGTATATTTAAACCGTGACCCACCTAGTAACCATTGGACCCGCTCGGTAAAGTGTTTTCTTATGAACGGTTATATAACCACATAAGTACCCTTTGATCGGTGGGAATGGATCAAAGGTCAGAATGTGATCAGAATATCTTTAGTGGCATTACGATTTGAAATAAAAGTTTATTACAATAAATATGGCGACGTGACGTGCCGACTTCTAGTTATGCATCCATTCCCTTGTATAGAACTTGATCATGTGTATATTATCATAGTATGTCTGAAAAAGTTAGAGCAAGATTTGGTAACAATGGCCTGTTCACAAAGGGCCAGTTTATGTTACGCAATGAAAGTAAATTTGGTTAACCTACATACAGTCACGTCTTTTCTTTACAGACAGGCCACCTCGGTGGAAAGCACTGCAAAACAGTCTCATTCATGCATGATGATGTCGGTAGAGGTAAGAAACGCTTTTTGAAGCTTAATTGCTTTACACAATTAAGATTACAGTAGGACATTATAAACATATAGGGCTATCAACGCGTACCCTACGTACGAACTTCTGCCAAGGAGAGGTCGTTGATCATGGATTGAGTAGGTCGAGCAACGTTTGCAACTTTACCCTGCCACGCAGTCTACAATGACTAGAATATTCGTTGGGATTCTTTAGGGTCCTTCAAGGGATAAACTTAGACTGATCTTCTATTGTAGCACAAAGACTTGAGTCTTATTCTATAATATTGAAGAACAGTCAAGTGCTAAGTCTTATGCCGTATCTTTATACAAATACTGACTGAGTCAGTGGCTGCGTCAATGCACTGACACAGCACCTTACACACATCAGAGGGTAGTACAGACGGAGACATAAAAGTCTGGCAAATTGGCAAAGAGGGTTGTCAGTTCTGTGTTGGGGATTGTTAAACAGATCTAGAACAATAAGTTGTAACATGAAATGTCCACATGCGACACAAAAACGTGAGCGTCACCCATGTTTACTGACTTGTTAAAGCGTAACTCACTGATTGCGTAACACACCTCCGAGTTACCAAGAGGTACTTGGATACTTAATCAGACTTTTATAGCTTTCGTACAAGTGTCGTTTCACATTAAGCATATCACTGCTTCATATACTTGAAAGTTTTTTAAGACACCGCTTTCTCCTAAGGTTGAATTGTGGCCTCCAACTTAAAAACCAAGCAAACCAGAAATCCATTCCATGGTAAGACTTTGACAAATCAAGAAGCAAACCGACACCGATGGGAAAAAACATTGTGAAAAATTCCTCAGTTTAACTACAGCGCATTTCCCCTACATTTCTAGGTACAGAGATATACAATGCTCTTGATAGTGGTTGTTGTAGCCGTGGTCGCAGCGCTAGTTCCAGTCGCCAGTGCCGGACAGTGTGTGGACGCCAAACCTGGCGCTAACTTCACTAACGAGCGCTACTATGGGCTGTGGTACGAGATCGGCAAGGTATCCGCTGTGTATTCTTTTATACAAGATAATTACCTCCATGAAATGGAAGGTATTGTTTTTGGCGCGTCTGTGTGCGTGTGTGTGTGTGTGTGTGTGTGTGTGTGTGTGTGTGTGTGTGTGTGTATGTGTGTTTGTGTTTCCGCATTTTTGTACCTTCATAAGTCCATAACGCCTTCATGGATTGTGGTGATATTTGGTATGCTGGTAGGTCTTAGGAGGGCGAAGGTCAAGGTCAAATATGGGCCTCCTGGTGGATGGCCTTGGTACTGCAGCAGCACTTCCGGTTTAAGGTTGAGTCAGGGCATGGCTGAGAGGAATCTCCTTTGTGCTTGCGAGGCAGGGTACCAGATGTGGCTATGCCCAGCGAGGCAGCGCGCTCCCTCAGGGGAATAGGTGACCTATTTCAGGGCAAATGTGGCAGTGCCACTGTATGGCTGTGTGTTTGAAAACAAACAACCTGTGTTATTACCTCCATGAAAATGGAGGTATTGTTTTTGTTGCGTCTGTCTGTCTGTCTGTCTGTCTGTCTGTCTGTGTCTCCGCACATTTGCGGCCAGCATAACTTCATAACGCCTTTATGGATTGTGATGATATTTGGTATGCTGGTAGGTCTTAGGAAGACGAAGGTCAAGGTCAAATATACGCCTCCTGGTGGATGACCTTGGTACTGCAGCAGAACTTCCGGTTTTTGTATCTTTTGTCCTGAATATGCTATGGTGTTGATTTTTTGGTGGCAGATAGATTGTCCTGTCTAGTAAGTGGTGTGGGTTTGGTCCCCCTAGCAGCTTGTTCTGGAACTGCAGGGGACTTTCGGGCGAAATCTTTAAAAGCCAATAAGTCCAGATAGAAACAATGTATTTTCATCATTTTTGGTAGGTAGGTAGCTGAGAGAGAGATGTACATATTTAACTGCAAATTATGCAAATGAGGACTTAATTTGCATAATTAATGAGGAAATTCTATAATTACAGTGTTTTGCATTATAGTACTTTCATACATGTAATGTACTAGTATGTAATCTATGGCAGATGGAACATCACCAGATACCAATTATGCAAATGATGACCTAATTTGCATAATTAATGCGAAAATTCTATGACTCCTTAGTGGTAAATGATGGGAATTTCATACTTGGTACATGTGTAAGTTAATCAAAAGTTAACATCACGATGCATTTATTATGTTAATGTGGAGATAATTTGCATAATTAAAGAAGAAATTAACATTTACATGTCAAGCCCATATTTCATGGAGGTATGAGATCTCGGAACTCTTGTTTTCTATGTTTTCTTTCTTTTGTGATCTATACCTATACACAGATTAAAATCGGTGTGGTCTAACAACACATCACCTTTATAAGAGAGGGTACATATTATGTAAGTACTAAAACTGTGAAGAGTTGTCCCGAAAATGTGAAGAATTGTTGTTTATTGACGACAATGAGGTTAAATAGTTGACGCTTAATAACTTTTCTTGTTTGGATGTGGTCAGAAACTGCAGTACATACTGCTAAAGCTAGGTGACACTGCGATATGGCTTTCTTTGAATATTCCCTCTTTAAATGTGTAATACATGTAGCCACGGGCCTGTAAATTATACAAAATGGTCCTCTTCTTTTCTAAACGAAAGGTGTGTCATGTTTGTATCTGATGTCTTAGATACAAACCGCCGGAGGAGCTTTCTTTGAGAAGGACTGTGTCTGCACCAACATCGCCATCAAGGCCGACCCCAGCGGGAACGCAGGAGACGCCATCGTTACTAACAGCTGCAGGAAGAAAACTCCGCAGGGACAGTATCTCAACGCTACAGGTAATACACCTGTTACTGTATACAATGTAGCTGCGTACACCATATGTGCCTCTGACTAGCTTACAAACAACATCAGCAAAAAAACACATAAAAAAGCAGTTTCATTGTTATCATTGTGTGTAGAAAAATTTCAAAAAAAGAAAATTTCAATGTTCAGCAACTTCACAAGTGTTATAACTGATGTTCCATTTGTGTTCCCTCCAGCCAAACTGATCCAGGAGACAGTACCAGGGAAATGGCAAGAGAGCTTCTTCCCTTTTGCTCCCACGGTGAGTGGTTGTAACTTGTATTTCACACTGAGAATAATGTGCCACTATGTATACTGTAAACTGATAGGTATATAGCACACTCTTGGCTCTCACTATTCAAATATTGTTGTTTTGTCTGGAAACAAGACATAGTTTTATACTAGACAGGCATGCCTTGGCCTGACCATTATGTACATTTTTACCACTCAGATTCGTAGATCCCTTAGATTTTTATTATAGCTGTTTCCTTGGACCTTTGCACTCTTTTGCTTTTTAACTATTATGCATTAGTTCCAGTGTGATTTTCATGTTAATCATGTTCCTTGCAGCAAACCTACACCATAATCTACATCGGTGATGACTATGCTGTGGAGTATGACTGTGAGTCTGTGTTCGGCCTGCTGAACTACTGTATCCACATCCTGTCCCGGAAACCCACTCAAGACCCTGACCTCACCAAGAAGCTCCTGCAAGGCTCCTTAGACATGGGACTCAACTCTGAGGAACTGGAGTATGTGCAGACACTGCAGGAGGGCTGCTGGTAGATGGAAAAACGAGAAAACCAACATTTACAGCAAAACCAATGATGCATTTTAAACAAGGCACCCGACTATGCGCTCTTGAACACCTGAAAAGTGCCTTTGGCTTAAGGTTGAATAAAGGTTTAAAAAAAAACAACCTTTGTTATCAAGGCCGCACTAACCTATTCCTTTGGTTCCCAGACATTTAAAGTAAAAATTCAGCAAAATGACAAATGAAAATAGAAGCCTGTAAGAATTAAATCTGGCTATATTCACTGTTGATATATGTGTATAGCAATATCAGGATTAAAAAAATCCAAGAACCAGTAAATGAAATTGGTGCTGCTTATTCTAGTCCTTCATAGTGCTAGAATTTTTCAGGCATTGCAACTAAACTTCATGTACCTGAGAAAGGTGCCAGAAATACTGCAGATGATGAACACTGAGTTTAATATAAACCCAGAAACTTCTTCAATGCTATCCATCCATGTCTGTGGTATCAATTCTTTTGAATCTTCCTAAGACCACAATTATATGGACAAAAAGCCATCAAAGACTCAGTTGTATCTCCGAGAAGACTTAATTTCTTTAATACAGAATTTTAATAAATCAAGTTTTGCAATCTATGAAGGCGGCGACTTGAGAGCAGTCCATGCCCATGGTTGTTGGGTGTAGCCGACGCACTGAAGAATTCAGTCAGCCGATGTTGTGACTTAGTATGGTTTATTTTTTGCCGCGTTGTAACCACGTAAAATTCAGTTCATTTGTATTCACAACCTCTCTCCAATCTTCAGAGTTCCTCCCTGCATTTTTTACCTACATTTGTACATGCACTTTGCAGTTAATCGTCCAGATCTAAGGTGTCTAATTCTTCCTCGATTTCTAGAAGATCGTCGTCCTCTGCATCGAAAAGGTTTTCGTCTATTGGCACGTCTTCATTTGTCGGTTCTTCTACGGGACCGTTGGAGGGTCCGTTGGTGACGGGAGTTTCAGTATCGGGAACAATCGCTGCAGCCTGGTCTAGTTTAGTGGACTCATCTGGAAGTACAGGAATTGTATGTTATAATTGGACATCCAAGTCAAAGACGACTCAAACTCTAAAACTGGACATCTACATGCACCGCTCTTATTAACTAGAATCATCTGCAGAACTGGTCAACATTTATGACGATATATAAGTATGTACTGGAAATCTTAAACTCTTGTTCTTAACCAATTATTAGGTTTGGCAGACAGGATAACATAGGACTTGCCTAATGCTAGCCTGGGTACCATCCTATTTGTATGCTGGGGCTCCCATACTCAATACCTAGCAAGGCTGACATTTACAAAACTACCATACACAGTGAGAAGAAATCTTCAATTTCAGCTATGAAGTTGTGGGGCATCATCACTAAATACATGCAGCTTACAGTTCATTCAATGTAATACAACCAGATGCTGCTGTGCCATGTGTCTGCAAAGCTGGTGTGTTATATCAGCTGTACATACAGATATGTGCATACACACACACACACATATAATACCCCACCTTGGGTTTGTAGGGGGTTGGGGTTTGTGTCCCCTCCCCCGGGTCTCCTGTCCTTGCTGGCGACCGTTCCCGTTCCGTCGACCTCCCTTGCCGCCATCGCAAACGCCTCCAGGCTCACCTCCGTAGCCTCCGTCTCATCCTGCAGGCAACAAAAATTCCACCTTTAACCTTTGTGCCTCACCTTTAACCTTTGTGCCTTTAACCTTTGTGCCTCATCATTTTGGATGGCACGGGAGCTCCTAAGTCTTTGACCACAAAGGGAAACTGGCTTATGGCATCCACATCAATTTTGTACCCATCTCCTTTTCCTTTACTCCTAGAATGTCAATTCACCACAGAACAGATGGCTGGATAATGTATAACTTGCAAGAAATTGGTCAGGCTTTTTCAGAAAAAGAAGAACTATTTTACCCCTTCAGTTGTGCAATATTTCCTTAGTGAGATAGGAAAAAACAAATAAATAAAAAAACAAAGAAACAAACCAACCTGCTCCTCTTCCTGCTGTCTCTGGTGCACGTAGGTACCACCCTCATCATCATCACCTTCCTCAACAAGTTCCGGTCTGAACTCAAACACCTCACGTCCTGACACCTGTCAATCAAACATCAACATCATCAATATCATCACCCTCCTCCACAAGCTCTGGTCTGAACTCAAACACTTCACGGCCTGACACCTGTCAATCAAACATCAACATCATCAATATCATCACCCTCCTCCACAAGCTCTGGTCTGAACTCAAACACTTCACGGCCTGACACCTGTCAATCACATGTCGGTGCTTAGATGTGTTGTGTGTGTCAATTACAAACTCATTAGGACATCTATCTACTTTAGATTTTCCCATAAAGTATGAAAGATGTCACATGTAAAAAGGCAGTGAACATTTAATTGCAACATTTTATTGGCTGGACTTCAGACTAATTGTTTTGTATTTTAAAAATCATCTACCTGATAATGTCTTTTTATTCTTGAAGGCACATGAATATTTTGATATGAACAGACTTAAAAAAACACAGTCTCTTACCATAAGAGTCTTGCCAGATTTGAAGTCTGCTTTCTTCTTGGCCTTGTTGTCTTCCAGCTTCTTCTTCTTCTCCTGGATTTTTCTCTTCTTCCAGGCAATGAAGGACTCTAGGGTGACCCTGGTGGTGTCTGGACCTAAGGCAGCTCTCTGCAGAGACATAGCAGAATTAACACACTGAGAAACTGCCTTGTCACTCTAGAACTCTGTTAAAGCAGAGTAGTATGAAACAGTCACTCAGAGGTACAAGATATTTACCGATCAGTTTACTTATCTTTAACTAGTTTATGTATGCAAATTTTTACTCTGCCCCACCTCTCTCTCAATAAGTTCTTCCAGTGAGATCTCGTCCTTCTTTTCCAGTTTGTTCTCCTTCTTCTTCAGCACGAAGCCCGGAGGCAGGGCGTGTCTGTAGATACAGGACTCTCCGTTGGGACAGTTCCAGAACCAGCCGTACTTCTCCTGTTCTATAGCCTCCAGGAAGTACTTACAGACCTGCAGTACAACATACAGAATACATGTCAGTCTATACTTTCAACACTCCTCATATTCCATACATGGAAGTTCAAATCCATCCTTCTCTTGTTCTATAGAACTTGACAGACTTCCCTTGTTCTATAGAACATTCCACACTCCTCATTTAAGTTCCATGGAACATTCCATACTTCTGTTCTATACAACCTGCCATTCTTCTATTGTTCTATGAAACCTCCCATACTTCTACAGGTTCTTAAGAACCTGCCACACTATTTTTATTTTAGGAAATTCCCCTCCTTGTCCTACGTACAATCTTGGTTTCGTTGCCCTTCTTCTTGTCGGCTTCTCCGTGTTTCTTGTCCACGACCTCCTGCAGCTTGGCCTCGTCCCAGTTCTCCATGGTGTCTGCAAATAACACAGCATTTCAAAAGTCATTGAATCGACACCAAACAAGGCTCCTCTTTTCAACTTGTTATTGGAAGTACAGCAGACAATAAGCAGAAGCCAGAACTACATGTATTAGTCATTTTTGTATCTCATGGAACTAATGGCACAGTACACTAACTAAAAATCAAAATCCATTCAGTTGTTCATATATCCATCCATGCAAAAGCCACATTTGACAGTAATTCATCCATGTATAATCAGGGCCATTCTTCATGTAATATTCTGCCCACCTTCTCCAGATCTTCGTCCCTGACGTCCACATACAGACTGCGTTTCTCTCCCTCCTGTCCATGGTCAGGTCGTGAGAGAATTTACACTTGTCTCCCTTCTTACACAGACCCTGCTTGAAGAACGCACACACCACTGACTTCGGATCAACACCTGGGAAGAGCAGGAAAGATTTTATGAATTTATTGAGATACTCTTAAGCCCCTTTATGGGGATAATCTTCCTGGGCTCGTTACAGAATACAAAACAGATATAAGCTTTTTAAGGCTTCTGAAGTTCTGTCTGTCCAATGTGAGATACCAATAATACATACAGGGCATCATTGTCATGAAACACAAAAACATGACATGACTACAAATGTATCATACTGTATTACAAATACATACAAACAACTAAATTTGTGATCAAGTTTGCTTAGACTTTGGTACAGCCTGGGCATCAGCAAGTGTATCAAGAAGACAATATATTTTGAGGCTCAAATCTAGTGGGAATGAGCTCCACCCACCTTTCCCTATTTTCTGCTGGCCAGCCACAGGTTTGAAGAGCTTGTTCAGCTCCTCGGCTTCCCTCTTCTTCTTCTCCTTCTCCAGCTTCTCCTGCTCCTTCTTCTCCTGAAGTTTGCGCATGTCCTTGGCCGTCCCGCCGACCTTGACCTGGTGCGTGACATGCTGGATGAACTTCTGCTGCTTGTTGCCCTTCTTGTTCTTCAGACCAAAAGTTTTATCCTGAAACAGACATTGTTAAAATTATTGTAATGTCATTATAACACCAGATGGCAAACTATAGACAGTTATTTTCTAAACTGGTAAAAACTGGCCTAAACAAGTCACAAGTAGAATTTTTGCAATACTAACTGCTTGTTGCCTTTCTTGTTCTTCAGACCAAATGATGAAACAGGCATTACTTTTTTCTTGTTGATGATGATGAAAGAAGTTTATTGTACATTCATGCCTCGATGGGTTAGCCAACTTGCCTTAGTTAATACCCAACCTGGATGGTTTGAGGGAGAAACAATACAAGCAGTGTGTTGTGCTCCAAATTCGATTTACCAGCATTCCAGCGGTGACGTCAATCCCGTGTGCCAAAAACATATACAGGTTCTGAAAAATCTTGCAATTGTACTTCTAGACATCACTAGGGATTTTATCCTAAAAATAGATGCACATACTTTTATTTCTAACATTGAAAACGCTTCATAAAACTGTCTTTGACGTCAAAGACTGTTGACTGACACAAATAAACTGTACCATACTTGATGCCACAACCTTGTCTCAAAACAAAAGGGTGTAAAGGGGGGTTCTTGAAATTTGTTGACATCAGCAAAACTGTACTACGTGATATGTGAGGAGTGTTGATTCATTTGTTGTTGCTTTGTGTTACTTTCCTACCCGATGAACTTCCACTAGTATCACAGTTATTGATTGACTAATTGATTGCTAAGTGGGAGGGGGGCAGAGAAATATGCTCTGATTTTTTCAACTTCCTGAAATTATAAAGATCAGTAATATATAATAATAATTGCGTACTCAATCTGTATAGCAAGGTAAAGAGTACCAACATCACATGGAAGTCTTAAGCAATTCAGAACTCTACAAAAGCTAAGGTACACCGAAGTTCTGTATACAGAACAACGAACGAACCGTCTGGAAAAATTCCAAGGCATGCGGTTTCCTCTGTCAACCGGCCATACTGTCGCACAAACTATTCTGTAAGAAAAGCGGAAAATCTTCCCTCACCTCGATAATCTTATCCTTCTTCTTTTCCTCTGCCTTTTTAGACTTGGCGGCGCCGCTGTTGCCCCTGTTTTTGGGAGGCATTTTGACGAATTCTTTCCCGCAAAATTTGTTTCACAGCCTTGACGCAATGTGTGCAAAGATGGCGGACTTTTCGACTTTTCCCAGCATCCTCTTCTATGGAAGAGACGACGTAAACATTTTTAGGGGTGTTTCATTTATGAGAAGTAATTCCTCCGCAAATAATTACAGGTTTGCGATAGCAAAACCTGTTCTATTTTACTTGGATTTTATGGGCGCCGCCATTTTGTTTCCCGTCATGCAATGGGGCAGGTCAAAGTTGAGTGAGATGCATTGTGGGACCTGTCACCGGGTTACAGTGTAAGGACGACACCTAGCGGTAGGTTTGGAAAGAGCAGTAACTCTAAGCCTACCTGGTTGTGTGTTCATTTTGGCAGGAGTGTATAGAGGCGATGGCTTTGACGTAATCTAGGCGAGTCTGATTGTGTTTAGCACTTGACATAATTTTCTTAGCATGACGGGAAGGAAACTTGGCGGACCCAATGCGGCGGAACTTAAAGTTGTTTTTTTTATGATGAGATGGTGAGGCTTTGGTATTAGTAGGGTGGTCTTGAGGATCTTGTCGAGGCTGAGCCTAGGGACGACAGATTGTCCTCAAGTACAGGGGTTAGTAGGTGGGATAAGTTGTTTTTTATGATGAGATGGTGAGGCTTTGGTATTAGTAGGGTGGTCTTGAGGATCTTGTCGAGGCTGAGCCTAGGGACGACAGATTGTCCTCAAGTACAGGGGTTAGTAGGTGGGATAAGTGGCATGAAGTTTTGGTATTAGTAGGGTGGTCTTGAGGATCTTGTCGAGGCTGAGCCTAGGGACGACAGATTGTCCTCAAGTACAGGGTTAGTAAGTGGTAATGGCATGGAGTTTTGGTATTAGTAGGGTGGTCTTGAGGATCTTGTCGAGGCTGAGCCTAGGGACGACAGATTGTCCTCAAGTACAGGGTTAGTAGGTGGGATAAATGGCATGAAGTTTTGGTATTAGTAGGGTGGTCTTGAGGATCTTGTCGAGGCTGAGCCTAGGGACGACAGATTGTCCTCAAGTACAGGGTTAGTAAGTGGTAATGGCATGGAGTTTTGGTATTAGTAGGGTGGTCTTGAGGATCTTGTCGAGGCTGAGCCTAGGGACGACAGATTGTCCTCAAGTACAGGGTTAGTACGTTCAGTTGATGAGATGAAGTTGGGGGATGTGATTTTGTCCATCTGAATATTAAGCATCCTGAAACCTGTCCTGCCTAACATTCATAACAGAATAATCCTTTTTTGTCTGACCTAGGACCTAACTCTAACAAGTGACAAACTGAGGAATGACACAGAGACTTGCTTTGGTCAAGACTTTTAGACTTGACCTCTGACCTTGCAGTGGGAGACACCTGTACTAGGTCATCTATTACAGCTGTACAGCCAGGGAACTCCTGTTGCATATGATCATTGGATATTGTACAAAAACTATGCAGATGTCCTGCTATAAATATCATACATGCCTCCCTTGTATTTAAGAGATTATTGTATAGCAGTGAATCATTGAACAAATCTTATATGGCCGTTGTACTCGTTAGTTCGATAACTGGATGTACCAAATAACAGCAATCAGTTTCGATTACAATATAGACTGTCTATCATTCTCTAGTCTCAAAGCCTGGCTACTGGAGAAGCCCAGTGTACTAAAATAAGTGACAATACAATTGAAATAGTTGTTGTTACAATGACTGTCGTTCTTTATGCTCAAATGTTTTGTCGTTACTGTCCTTGTAGTTAGGACATATGATGGATCCAGACAATCAAACAATTTGGTCAAGGGGTGGTCCTCTGGCTAATGTCTTCATACATTATGACATTTGGTATCGATCATGCAGACTCTATTGTCTTTTGCGTCCTTTGACTGGACATCGAAAAGCACGTTCACATTGGCTTCGTCGTATCGGCTGTGCCAGGAACTGCCGTCACGTCGGTCTCAGGCGGTGTGACTGGCCCCACAGCTCTCCCAGGACCGGGAATGGATGTCTCAGGGCCGGGGATGCAGACGTTGGTTGTTTCGGGGGATGAGGGTGTGTCCGGCGGTGGCTTGACGTGGACGGTCTGCTCCCTAATGCAAGAGAAGAAGAGAAAGTGACCGGGGAAGTACATCCCTGGCCAGATGGATGGGTGGCTGACGTGTCAGGTCCATCAGTGGTCGGCTTCCCCGGATCAGGAACGGAAGAGACGGTGCCCGTTGGCCGTCGTGTGCCCCGTCTTGGCCGAGGGTCGCTGCATGTACACTGAAAAAGAAGAAGACATGTGCCCCTTGAACAGTTTCAACCTGACAACCACATGCAACCACTGTCGACGTCGACATTGACCCAGAACATAGCCTGGGTCAACCTATACATGTACAGTACAGACAAACTCACACGCCGGCCCATCCTGTCAAAACGGACAACTGTACTCACACATAAACGCACTAGGATCGCCACTAAATAAAAACAAACAAAACTAGCAAATCTACGCATTCAAAATAGAATAATAGCTCCATCACATTAACTACCATTGTCACGACTTCAACGCGTCAACGCCGTCAAAAAAAACATCAACTTTGGAACCTCTAGAGTATATTAAAACAGCACCAAAATCCTTACTTGGCCATATGTCTCTAACAATCTTTCATCGTAGTCTTCAGAGAAAAAGTCAGGGAATTTTCAGGGGTCGTTTTGTCTAAAATAATAACAGAAAAATAATCGTTTTCTATATAAACTAATAACAGAAAAATAATTGTTTTATATGAAATGATAGAAAAATAATCATTTTCTATAAAGAAAATTACAGAAACATGATCGGTTTCAATAAAATAACGGTGTACAAACCAGGCACACTGTGCAGGCTCACTTTCTGGCCCCTGCCCACAGCTCTACCGGGACCGGGAACGGATGTCTCAGCACCGGGGATGTAGACATCGGTTGCCTCGGAGGATGAGGGTGCGTTCGGCGGCGGCTTGACGTGAACGATCTGTGCTTTCCAAGCAGAGGTTGGTGGGGAAGATCACAGCCTGCAGAAGAAATACGAGGGTGTTTGTCGTGAACGTCTAAAAATTGTATTTTGACATTAATGAAAGTCTCTCAGATGATTATGAATGACGAATGATTGGCTAAGATTACATCTAATGTCTAATTCATGTTATTTGACATATAATGTACCTGATGCAATCATTGTGCAATTATGAACATTTCATACTTTACTTGAAACAGCCCACCCAAAACAGGCTAAAACAACTGAAGATTAATTACCCGTGTGGCATGTCAGGTCATTTCCAATTTGTCACGCATTCTTTAAGTCAAGCAATTAACCCCATAGGTCAGAAAAACTGGCCCTAGGTGTCAGTTTTTTGAACGTCTGAACCTAGCTGTCACTGAACCGTGCAGGTGCAGGTGGCAGCTGCTGTAACGTGTAACACTATATACGTGGGACTGGCGACACAGCTCCACAGGCTCCACAAGACTAACAAGTAAAATTTAGCCAAAAAGGGAGAATAATTTGGCAGTACAATTGCAAGTTTATAAAAAACACAACACATGTACACACAGTTCTCTATCATTGCTAACGTGGGCACGGGTAACACCTATGATGACCCTATCTCCGTTCTCAGCTGAGCTGGACAGACTCAATGGATACTTATAAATTGCAAAGTTTATTGGAAACTCGCATTCGTTAGATAATTACAACAAGCACATTATTTTGCAAGAAAATACAAGAATTAAGAGTCTAAAGGCAACTGTCTGTGAGATCCACATCTGAAACCTTAAGTTATAACTATGTGTAGATATACAATGTTATTCCAACTGATCAATACCACTTGCTTGGTACTAGAATTGCACACAAGAAGAAACATTCCCCACCATATTTGCAGTGATAAAGATGTTCCATGGCAGCAGCATGCCCAGTCCCAGCAGGAAGAATATGATGTACACAGCATTGTACCTGAAACAACAGAATAAATAATCAGTGATTAAATAACTCATGCAGAACAAAAACAACCCACTGAGTGAAAGTCAAACACTACACTTCCTGAAGTTAACTTGAAAAAAAATGTAAGCTTCTCTCTTAAACACACTCACTCACTCACTCACTCACTCACTCACTCTCTTACTCACTCACTCATTCACTATCCAGTTTAATGTTAGTTGTTCACCATCTCCCAGTGGTTGCATGTTGACGCTGAAGGTTGATGGCAGCCTGTTTAAGCTGTCAATGTCCAGTTCTTTAGCTGAACAAATTGTCACATGTATTACATTTAAGTGATGTAGTGTACGTGCTTGCCCATATAATATTACAATAACTTAAGTAAGGATAGATAAGACTATAATAGAGAGTAATAAATGTTTTAGGAGATAAAAGATTTCCTACTTTCCGTATAATACCAATGTTCTTAGATATTTTTTTACTAATAAGATCGATGTGATTTTCCATGTTAATTTTGCATCTATTAAAACCCCTAGAAAACGGGTGTGTGTCACTTGAGTAATAAGGTTGTTGTTTATGAATATTTGTACGTTTTCCTTCGGGTAATTTCTATTTTTACCTGCAAATATTATTAAATTTGTTTTTTTTAACATTTAAAGACAATTTGTTTATTTTAAACCACTTACTTACTTTATCCAATTCTTCGTTCATTGTAGTTACTAACGTGTTGAGATTTTTATGAGACATGAATATATTTGTATCATCAGCAAAGAGAAGAGCAAATAATTTTTGAGATACTTGTGCTAAATCATTTATGTAAATTAGAAAAAGTAGGGGTCCCAGGATGGATCCTTGAGGAACGCCACATGTTATCGAGTTATGTTGTGATTTGTAAATGCCATTGGTAACATATTGTTTTCTGTTAGCAAGATAATCTTTAAGCCAATCATGAACTGTGTTTTGTAAGCCGTACATATGTAATTTGTCAAGTAATATTTTATGGTCAACGGTATCAAATGCTTTTGAAAGATCAAGAAATATGCCTACGGTGTATTCGTTGTTTTCTAACGCTTCGGTTATTTTATCAGTAAGCATAAAAGGGGCATGTACGTAGAATATTTTTTGCGAAATCCATATTGATGAGAATAAAGAATATTATTTGTTTCTAAGTGCCTTAAAATTCTTTTATAAACTAATTTTTCTAAGATTTTTGAAAACGTAGGAAGGATTGATATAGGTCTGTAGTTTGTAAATATGTCAAGATCTCCGGTTTTGTATAGGGGTATTACTTTGGCCATTTTCAATTCTGTTGATACTGATCCAGTTGACAAAGAAAGCTTAAAAATATGAGTAAGTGGTTCTAAAAGGGAGGAGACATTTTGCTTTATCAAAGATGCACTTAATTCGTCATGACCTGGAGCTGCATTTTTCAAATTTATGATAATATCATGAATCTCTGTAGAATCTGGGTCTTCAAAAGAGTTAGTGTGTGGATAGGAACATTCAAAATATTGCAAAGGGGAACAATCGGTCTTTTCGATTTTGTTTGCAAGGGATGGCCCAATATTGGTGAAAAAACCGTTGAATCTGTTAACAATATCTTGTGGATCATCTATGTATGACTCTCCATCACGAAATTTATTAGGAATGACAATACTTGTTTTTTTTCTGTTAAGGAGTTCGTTGATTATTTTCCAGGTTTTGGATATAACCGAGGATGCGGCTTTTAACTTTTCGTCGTAATATTTCTTTTTAGACAAACGAATAAGGGAGTTGTACTTGTTTCTATACATTTTGTAACGGTTTAAAGTAGTTGGAGTTGGACTCTTTGTGTACGCCTTATAAAGTTTTTTTTCCTAGTTGACGATTTTAACAGACCAGTGGTAAACCATGGTTTGCTGTTCTTAAATTTGTGATTCTGTTTACATGTCTTTAAGGAAAACATTTCGTGAAGTGAGAATGAATGATTTTACTGAAATACGTAAAAGCAGAATTAGTATCGGTACTTTGATATATGCCCTCCCAAGTTTCATCGTTTAATAATCTTTCAAATTTCTTTTTATTAACACTATTAAATCTACGTTGAGTACGTTCATTACAATTGATTTTATCTCTGATAAGCGATTCTTTAATATAGAAGATTGGAAAATGATCAGATATATCAGTAAAAAACAAACCTGTTACGTAAGAATCATTCAGGGAATTTGTCATAATATTATCAATTAGTGTTGCTGACTTATTTGTTACTCGGGTTGGCTTAGAAATGGTTGGATAGGTGCACAGCCTGCAGAAGAAATACGAGGGTGTTTGTCGTGAACGTCCAAAAAATTGTATTTTGACATTAATGAAAGTCTCTCACATGATTATGAATGACGAATGATTGGCTAAGATTACATCTAATGTCTAATTCATGTTATTTGACATATAATGTTCCTGATGCAATCATTGTGCAATTATGAACATTTCATACTTGACTTGAATCAGCCCGCCCAAAACAGGCTAAAACAACTGAAGATTAATTACCCATCTGACATGTTAGGTCATCTCCAATTTGTCACGCATTCTTTAAGTCAAGCTATTAACTCCATAGGTCAGAAAAACTGGCCCTAGGTGTCAGTTTTTTGAACGTCTGAACCTAGCTGTCACTCAACCGTGCAGATGCAGGTGGCAGCTGCTGTAACGTGTAACACTATATACGTGGGACTCACTGGCGACACAGCTTCACAGTCTCCACAAGACTAACAAGTAAAATTTACCCAAAAAGGGAGAATAATTTGACAGTACAATTTTAATTTATAAAAACACAACACATAGTACACACAGTTCTCTATCATTGCTAACGTGGGCACGGGTAACACCTATGATGACCCTATTTCCGTTCACAGCTGAGCTGGACAGACTCAATGGATACTTATAAATTGCAAAGTTTATTGGAAACTCGTATTCGTTAGATAAATTACAACAAGCACATTACTTTGCAAGAAAATACAAGAATTGAGAGTCTAAAAAAGAGAGGGAATGTTCGACCATAGAGAACCAGAATGACAATTTATGCATCAAAACGGAGACAACGAAATAATTTGCACTGCACCATACAAATAAAACCACGCCACAAGACCGAATAATGTGGGATGACGAGACATCGAAAAGCATGTTAATACATCCAAGTGACAAAATCAAAGAGATCCTGGAGAATACTAGTCAACCAGGGAGAGATTCAGATTTCAGGCGAACGTTATTCAGAACAAAACGGCTTCAAACAAAACGACCCTCGTACTAAAACGGACATATACACATGTACACAGACTGATACACTGATGATAATAATGAATAATTTGATATATAAAATACAGATGATTTCAAAACTTTCAGATGGAAATGTGGTGCTTTGGAAGAAAAAGGAAAAAGTTTTAGCGTACGAACATGGGATGTAAGTTTTAACCTTTCTGAAGAACTATGCTTTTCGGAACGACGGGAAACAACAGGTCAGCTGCGACCAACGATTATGATTCTGTTTACAAGATAGGGGCCAATATTACGCATAGGGCATTCAACGTTTGTTCGCAGAATGGCACCGTTTCTTGTCTTAATCCAAAGGTCTGTTTTTTAAAGATGACCGCTAGAAACTGATGGAACGAAAACACGTTACATCAAAACAATATGAAGACAACAATCGCTGAAAGAGACTGATCAACTCATTTGTAGCAACTTTCTAACTTACCCACATACCTTCTGCCAGCTCCTTGTCTGCCTTTAAGTTGTGCAGCGTCAGGTCGGGCTTCCATGTCCCAAGGATAGTGGAATATCATAGTGTCCTAGATCCTTGGATTTCCCCTCGCTGTATGATCTTCGTGGCCCCGCAAATATTTAGTAAGAGCATACTTTCCCACAGACAGATCCAAGACTAGGAGCATTTCCTCTGTTTCCTTTCCCGTCATCTCGTCCTTGACCAAGGCCTTGAATCTGTAGCTGGGGCAGCTTTGGTGCTTGTGCATAACCTGGAATTATTCCGCCATCGAGAGGGAGAGGAAGGATTTCACGTCTGTGCACGGTGACGGCAGCGCGAGAAATGGCCTAGCCTGGTCAGTGCCGTATTTGCCCAGTCACGAGAATGCAAATGAGTTTCAGATATACGCACAACAGGCTATCGCACACAATGTATTTACAACATTATCCTATTTTATATTACACTACAACGCTCCGTGACACACATGGACGTTACAAGTGCAACGAAAACTGCATCAGACTGAACAGGCTAGCATAAATTCTCACAGAAAAGAGTTTCTGTCCGCCCGTGCTCTCACTGTCTCAGGAATGGAT